CATTTAGTATATATTAAATTAAAAGAGGAATTGAAATTTGAATAATTTTTTTGCACTATAACTATATAAAAACTTTAAAAAATGTACTAAAAATGTCCCGGACTTACATTTATGATATAAGACATGAATTATGAAATTAATATCTGAAGGAATTTATGAAATACCCATTACAAATTACAAAGAGTACATCTAATAAACATATCCAACTCAAAATTTTTATGAAAAATTTTTTTTACAAAAAATACAAGCAATATTCAAATGTAATGTCCGCAACATAAAATTTGCATTTTCCATATTTAACGTAAAATATTTTCCAAAATATCAATAATTTTTATTTATTTTTTTTGGTTTCATATAATTCAATTTATCTATTTTCTGAAAATGTCAAACATCATATATAAAACGCAATTTGAAAATTTTCAATGCATGTCGCAATTACTGTGGAATGCCCCTTATATAAAGCTCAATTGTACACGTCCAGTCTTTTTGCGGCAAATGTTACATTAAAGTAAACTAAAATATTTATAATTCACACGTACAGTCTTAAAAAAATGTGTTAGGATACATTTTTTTATTTACATATTTTAGAGTTAATTTGCATATGAATAGTGCATGCGACCATAATATGATTATAAATATCCATCTCTTCTATTAATATATAGAAAAGAAACATTTATTTAAATAATTTAAGACCTAATTCAAGATTCTATGGAAAGTGGTCACAGACATATGCAAATTCGGTGAATATATGTCAAAGGTCAATTGTTGTCTTTCCGATCGTTTTGGTGACAGATGTTCTATTAGAGCCAATAGAAACATATATATTCCGTACAATTTGAAAAAAAAGCAACTCTCTGTAATTAGCCATCATCAAGATATTATAGGAACCCCATATTTTCAATCCTAATTTGCATATTTTAGAGCTAATTTGCATATGAACATTATGTGTGACCATGTTGTGATTATAGATTTCTATCCCTTTTGTTAATTTATTGAAAAGAAACATGTATTTACATAATTTAAGACTTAAATAAAGATTCTACGGAAAGTAGTCAGAGATATGCAAATGTGGTGATTATAAGGTCAGAGGTCAATTTTACCATTTCCAGTCATTTTTGTGGCAAATGTTCCATTAGTGCAAATAGAAACATGCACATTCTGTGCAATCTGAAGAAAAAAGCAACTCTGTGTGACTAACCATTGCCAAGATATGGGAACCCTATATTATCATTTTTAATTTGCATATTTTAGAGCTAATTTGCATATCTACAGTACATGTGACATGTGACCATAGTGTGATTATAGATTTTCATCCCCTTGATTAATATATTGGAAAGAATCATGTATTTGAATAATTTAAGACCTAAATCAAGATTCTAAGTACATTAGTCACAGAGATATGCAAACCAGTGAATATAAGGTCAGAGGTCAATTGTAGCATTTCTGTTCATGTTTTGGGCAAATGTTCCATTAGAGCAAATAGAAACATGCATATTTGAAATCATTTGAAAAAGAAAGCAACTCTCTGCGACTAACGGTTGCCAAGATATGACACCCCTATATTTTCAACCTAATTTGCATATTTTAGCTAATTTGCATATGTTCCCGATGTGTGACCGAGGTGTGATTTGTGGAATTTCATCCCCTCATCATATATGTTTGATTAAAAAAAAAAACCTTTGTTTGCAATTTGTTTGACTTTTGGCTATTTTTTGAGATAGATCGCCTAGCCTAAAAAAAGAATGGAGAGCAAATGTAAGAAACTTTGCCCAGATATATTCTCGTCACATCGATGAACTAGAGCTGGAGATAGAAATGATGGACTGGAAGGCAATGTGGTCATCGACGGAGGGAACACTTCCCATGGACTGCAAGACCAGCCTAATGAATTGCAACAGATTGCAATTCAACAATCTCCATAAATTGCTTGCGCAATGAGGAGACTAAAAACTTATCTTCGGTCAACTATGGGAACTGAGCGAATGTCAGGCTTAGCTCTAATGACCATTCACAGAGAAATTGACCCAAACGATCAAATAGATGAAATCCTCAAATGTGACCCAAGCTCACAAACGGACTGTAAATTTGTCCTCAGGCCAAAATGAGTTTTTGTTATAATGGCATAGAAAATATTATTTACTTTAAAATGACAGTTAAATGAACTCAATCGGGTGTATGGAAGCAAAGTTATGACCATTTGAGTAATTGTCATCTTATCAACTTTCTTAAATCAAGTTTTGAGAAAAATGCTTTTATTCTCGGCAGGTTTCTATTCATTTTTCATTAGCTCTCATCCGAAAATGGCTAAATTTTACCTCTTACAGTTGGAATTTTAAACTCAAACTTCAGGAATAGTAAGATTATTAGTTATACTTTATTTATTACACAAAAACCCAATTCACACAAAATTCACATTCTACGCCTATTCTGGGTATTGAGGCTTGTTTCTCAATACAGTGCAGTGCGAGTTTACAGCCTGTTTGTGAGCTTGGGTCACAAATTATTCTTAAATATGCACCCTCGTCGTCTAAGCTACCCACACGTTTTTTACAGATAAATACGTCACTGACAACACGATGTTGCTCAGCTTTGCTTACAGTATATTATTTTATACTACAGTATACAGTAGCTGTTCATAATAATAATAATAATAATAATAATAATAATAATAAGCAATTAGTATAGCTCCGCATAGTAAACGTTAAACGTTCAGTTTGTTTTGTTTATGAGGGTCCATTGATTCAATGAATTCCTTAAATTGTTCATACTTAATAATTGAATTAGAGGTAACTTTCTTCGGGTTCTAATTAAACTTGTTTTACAAAAGTAATTTTCAATTACAATCCAATTTTCATCGCGATGTCTTCACGGTGACGAAAAAATTAGGAATTTTGTTTGCACATGAACATAAAAAAAATCAAGCCAAGTGTCCACTAATTGAAAAATTATTGGACTGTGAGGGATAGGCAAATAACATTGGGAGTGTTGCAGTGTTAATAACGATGGAAGTAAATATTTTGTTTAATATTTTCATTAATCTTATGGATGTACGAGTTAAATATACATATTAATCATGATCATAATAATTATTTGATGGATTACTTTTTTTATACTGATATTTGCCCATACTAGTAAAACTTACCTAAGTCAACTCTGCCTAACTCGAATCTTATTTAGTCGATCTTATTTTACATGCCAAATTGTGTTGTCCATTAATGAACGATCTTAAGTCAAATTTTATCTAAGGTAAACAATTTTTCAATGCCATTTTGGATTCGACTTAAGCAAGTTCAACTATAAGTAAAGGCAGTGTTTAATCACAACAGATACCAATCATAATGCATCATATCAATCAACTTATTTACTATAAATTAGTTGTTGAAAATTAATACTGAAAGAATTGATTTTGGTTTTTTATGTCCATTAATAATTTTAGCAATGTTATTTGTTCATATGATATAGTTATATACCAATATCATACTGCATCATAGTGATGAAATAACAATTTTACCCAATTCTTTGTCATTGAACATATGGTCACTAAATGATAGAATAAAAGTACAATCTTTTTGTATAGTTACCGTACATCGGTATTTGAGAATTTTATTTATGAGTATATAATCAATTAATGCCAACATAATATCCAACATAATAATATATAATATACCGCACCTACAACAGTCATTAGAGTCATTCGGCAGAAAACGTGTTTATGAATATATTTTTCACGACTCCATAAGAATAGCAACACAATCTAATTCTTTAGATTAGAATGCCGTGTACGACTGTCTTAGTGTTAATTTTTTTTTTTAAATTCCTAATATTGGGGGCAAACCCACCCACCCTCGGTGCTTGGCACCTCGTGAGGCCCCCCCACCCTAAATTTCATCCTAGATCCGCCCCTGACAGTGGAATCTATAGCCCCTCGTGATTTGGAGACTGTAGCCTACTAGCTATCTTCCCTCGGGCCTTCAGCATCCGGGAAGATATTCAGGCGATTTAATGTTTCTACAATTTGTACAATACTTTTTTCATTATAATTTATTTTGAGTGTATATTGCAGTATCAAATTTACATTGTAAATAATAATTACAATACCATAGTTACAATTGAAACTATTATACTTGACAGTAATATTAATCATAACATGAGCAATAATTTAATGAAAACTACAATGTTTTTTATGTTTATTAGTGAATTTTAAATGTCATTTTCTAAATGTAAATTGTTATATATTGTAATTAATAAGCAATTTAGCCAAGGCTACAATTCTCTTAATGTCATTTATCTTTTACCTAGTTATATGTTGACTAAAATATACCATGAATAATACAGTAATAGTAGGCTACAGTCTCCACATCACCTTGGGGCAATAGATTTCAACGTTCCCCTCATGAGCAGTCAATATTTGTATAATATTATATAGTATATTTACTGTATTAAATTGATAATCAACATTCAATATAAGCAGCATCTCACCTTACATCATTCCCACCATGAGCAAATGCTGAGAAGATAGCTGACAATATGAGTAAAGGTGAGCACAGCTGTACTATGACTGGATGGTCTTCCAACTGCTCGCTTGACGTGGCCTTCAGATTCTGTTCCTTTTCGCCATTCATCTCCTTATCTGAAGCATAATTCAAAATTAAAATAAAACAATACCGGTAGATAAAATGCTTTATAGTATTAATAATAACAATGATGATGGTGATGATGATGATGATGATGAAAATAATGATTTTCAGGAAGGTTTTAGAAATGTGAGGAGACTTGTTGTCTGAGAGGTTGCTATTCCTAAAAAGAAAATCTCATTTTGGGAGGGGGAACCCCTCTTAACCCCTTCCCCAGCTTGTGCCTACGAGCTCAAGTCCCTCCTGTCGGACAGTTTAGCGCCCCCCCAGAAAATATATCCTAAAGGTGATACATCGAGCACCCTATGGATAGGGCACCTTCGGGGCCCCAGGGGTAGCAGCCCTACGGACCGCCACATGAGAGCGCTTTGGCGTTACGCCACTGTTCATACTTATGAACCACCGGCTCGGTGATCCAACTAGACGTCACATACAACCATGTGCGTTTATGCGACTTCATTGTTTTGTTATTGTTTTAAAGCATGCGGTTGGACAGCAGCAGGGCAATATTGCATTTAAACGTATCATAAATATAATTATTGAAACAACCATTGATTGACATGCTGTAGGAATGTACAGGTAGTAATACTAGTACAATTTTGTCGTGTTATCCAAGGCAAGCTAACCAGGGCAGGTTAATTGATAGTGCTAGCATAGCTATTAGTACTTGTAGTAGTAATAGTCAGAGAGAGACAGCTGGCAGGCTGCAGGTTGCGTAGTGTTTGCTGCTGTTCTTGATTTGGTATTATAAGTAAGAATAGGTTGATAACCGGTGTAAAATTGACCACATCCCAAATTTTGGGATCCAAATTTTCGACTTTCCACATCGGAATATATGGTATATTATGTGAGTGACATATTTAACCGATATTTTAATTACATTTTGTGCCAGATTTCAAAAATTTGCTTTCAGTCCCGGTTACCAAATGTTAGTGCTTACCTAATGTTTCCTAGCTGAGCCTATGCCCACCTTAAGGTGGAATAAAAATCACGGCATTGAATTTCTTCTACAATACGTATATTTCCCATTAGTTGATAATTTATAACTATTAGAATTGTTTTATATCATATCAGATACATATACAGATTAATTTTATTTTCCAATAATTTTTGGATATTACATTGCTCACTTGCTATATAATTAATTATCTTCTTGAATACCTTAAATTATACTTTCTTATCCCAGCTGGGTAAAATAAGTATTTGTTAACGGTCCATGTGTGCACCCACTGTCCTCATTTTACCACTTCTGCTTATGTGGGGGCCGATCATATACGCGTGGAGTGGATGGTTGTTATCCTCTAGGATATTTTTTAAAACAATGGCAAGCAGTTCGTGGTAGAATGAGTCCAGTGACTGCACAGGCGAATCATTGACTTTCCCCACCCTACCCAGCACCTTTTCTATTCTCATTTTATCCCCTTTACTAATATTCCCAGCCCACCCAACATACAATACCCCCAAACAGAAAACATCACCGATATGTAGAACATTAGACATATGTCCTGCTTAACATCAAAAGAACCTAGTTTTCTAAGACAATAGAGTCTACTATTTAATTTCTTAACTACATAATCAGTATGGTCCCTCCAACAAAATTTTTTCAAACACCACCCCTAGATACTTATAGGAATCTACAATCTCCACTTCTTGACCATTAATGTTTACTTTATTCGGAACAGTTCTGTTATTCTTCCTCAAATCAATGTGCATTTCTTTTGTCTTATTTATGTTTATGTTTGTTTATGTTGACGGTTTTCTGTGGAAGGCGCTATATAAATATACGACCATTGACCATTGATTCAAGAAAATTATTTTCACAAAACTCAGTGAATCTAAAAATTTCAGAAACATAGAGGGAATCATTATCATTTATGAGACCAATCAATGCTGAGTCATCGGCAAATTTGATCATTGGACAACTCTAAGATTAAGACCTAAAGTCTGACGTGTAAATCGCAAACAAGAAAGGGGCCAAAACAGTACACTGTGGTGCACCAGTACTGGTAGACACTGTATTGGAAATAACGTTATTCTGTAGCTTAACATACTGAAGACGGTCAACCAGGAAATTTAATAAAAACAAACGAAATTAAGACACTTGGGACGTTCAAATCAATTAACTTACTTAAATGTGAGGCTGAATTGTATAAATGCCGAACTAAAGTCAAAGTACATAATTCTCACACATGGATTACTTTTCCAGTCATCTAAGTGACAATAAATTCTCTTTTTTTACAGTATTGCATCTTTGGTATTCCTATTAGTACAGTGGGCAAACTGGAGAGGATCAAGATTGTAGTGAAATATATGTAATGTCCTGGCAACGCTCGTCCGGGGTTCTCCATCATGGTGTGTGATCCAATAAAGCACGAGTACCGATAATCTGTGTCCCGTGTGCTATTTAGTCCAATATTAACATTTAGAAAACCCACAAGTAACAACATGGTGTCAGAAGTGTTGTAGCACCCATGATCGAAGTGCGGACCATGAGAGGTGTAACATTTCAGAGTTATAAGAAGAAACTGTGAGTACATTTCACCACCTCTACGCTCGTTGGGGCGGTGAGCAGTTGAACGCATCGAGGACCGCCTAGCGAAGCAGAATTCATGACTCGGAGCCTAGGCCTAAGCCTAGCAATAGGAGCGATATTATTTTGAAGAAATCCACCTAGAGCACGCTAATAATTCCTGTTGTCGCCTATTTTTGGTGGATTGAGTAGCTGGAAGTAGGTTGGCACGTTCTAGTGTGTGTATTTTGGAAAAGAAAAAAAAATACAGTACAGTATAGAGAGATGGCCTTATACTTGATTCCAGCTCCTTCGCGCATATATATATATATACGTACATATATATACATATATACGTATACATGTATATATACACGTGTATATATATTTATATATATGTATATATACATACGCGTGTGTATATATATATATATATATATATATATACGCATGTATATTATACGTATATATATACCTGTATATATATGTGTATATATATATATATGTATACATGTATATATATATATATATATGTGTATACATGTATATATATGTATACGTGTATATATATATATACGTATATACTGTATATATATATATATATATATATATATTTACTCAGAGGGTTCAGTACAGCTAGCTACCCGTATGTTTGAAACTATTTTTGAATAAGATGCTCCACTTGGCCTCGTTTTGGCTACAATAGTTTAATAATTTGTTATTACCATTACTCATTATCATTAATGAAATAATAGTCAGTCAGAGGGTTTATTAATATGTAATAATATGTATACTAAGCCTGAAGGTGGCACTTTACTACGACAGCCATCTTGGATGGTACACATACATAACTCTGCATTGCTGCACCATCTTGTCAACACTCTAGTTGTTTAATAACTCTATGGACTACTCATACAACAGAAAAAAACGTCGCATGGAGTTAGTGAAAAATGGAGATCTAAATGAAAAAACGATGTATTTCAGCAAGTATTAAAACCTTTTTGTTTTATTTTAGGCCTTCTTCAAAATACCTATGCCACAGCAGTTGATTTTTTTTTGCCGTAAAACCAAAATAGATTCATACATGCCGACTTGCCGATCGGTTAGCTTGAGCCCTGACTGAACTCTGCAGAAACTTCACATCGCTCTTCGCATCGCGATGTAAAACAAAATGTCGGAAAATTTTTCTTTGACGCATGCGCATTTGCATAAATTTCTACACACACACACACACACACATACTACACACAATAAAAAACAAAAGAAATGTGACTAAGAGTGATTACAATAGTTCTTATTGCATTACATGCATTGGAGCTAATAAAAGGGATGCAAACATCCAAGTTGCAACACTGAAATCATTGATGGGTCAAGATTGCAAAAAAGTACTGAAAGGGCTAAAACTTTCAGAAGAGCAGATGGCCGACCCAAAACAAATATTAGCTGCACTAGAAGAAGCATCTGTGATTAAACACAATGTATTATATGAAAGGTTTCAATTCCATTCTGCAACACAGCAGTCTGAGGAATCGATAGAGCAGTTTGTTGATCGTCTGCATCACTTGGCAGCCACTTGCAAGTTTGAAACGTTGGAAGATGAGATGATCCGAGACAGGTTGGTTTTAGGATGTAAAGATACTGCATCAAGAGCACGGTTATTCAGAAGGGAGGATGAGTGTCAAGACAACCATTGAAGCCTTGAGAGTGAATGAAGCTACAAGTCAGCAACTAAAGATAATCTCAGGTACAAGTGAAGAACAAGTTCACTATACAAAGAAAGCAAAACAAAAATATTGCAAGAAGTCTCCGTAGAAGCAGCCTCAGTATAAACAGCCTCAGCAAGATAAGCTGGTAATCATACAGTGCAGATATTGTGGAAAGAAACATGCAAAAAGTAGATATGTATGTTCTGCTTATAGGAATGTACAAAGTGCGGAAGGTACAATCACTCTAGTGTAGCGTGTAAGGTGAGACAAGTGCATCATGTATTAGATGAAGATCAAAGATCATCAGACGAGTACGAGGAATTAAACGTGGTTATTGAAATACCAATTAATAAGTAGGTAATGATAAGCACTTGCTAGCCACAATGATTCTAGGAGGAAGTGAAGACTATTAAAGAGAAGCACGATTTCAGATCGATACGGGAGCCTCATGCAACATAATACCCAGTCATATCATAAGCAAAATTAAGCACTGCCTTGAAGACACTAAAAAGGTGTTAAGAATGCATGATGGCACATCATGAGACCACTAGGCATGGCCAAGCTCAAAGTGACCAACCAAAAGAACAATAAGAAATATAAAATTGAGTTCATAGTGGTAAAAGATCCGAAATGTGTACAAATAAGGATCAGAGACAGCACTAAGAATGCAACTGCTAAAGATACGAGCTGAAAATGTGATGACACTGCAACAACCAGAAGCACAAGCTCAGCCGATAACTCTTGAAGACTTAAAAAACGAATTCCCAGGTACATTTAATGGTACGGGATGCTTCGAGGGTGAATCTAAAATTCACTTAGATGAAAATGTGAAACCTGTAGTTCACCCTCCGAGAAAGGTGCCGGTGGCTTTGAAAAACAGACTAAAAGTCACATTGGATGAGTTACAAGAAGAAGACATTGTGACTAAAGTGACAGATCCTACTCCATGGGTGTCAAGTTTAGTGCTTGTGGGTAAAGGGAATAAACTTAGAATATGTCTTGATCCCAAGGATCTTAACAAAGCCATACAACGGAGTCATTATTCAATGCCAACTATTGATGATATTTTACCAGACTTACACAAAGCACAAATTTTCAGTGTGTTGGATGCGAAAAATTGATTTTGGCACGTACGGTTAGATGATGAAAGCTCTTTCTTAATGACATTTAATACGCCATTCAGTCAATACCGGTGGAAACGGATGCCGTTTGGAATTAGTAGCGCAACGGAAGAGTACCAACGTCGACAAAACCAACTTCTAGAAGAGTTACCAGATGTCAGATCGGCAGCCGATGATATATTGGTTTTTGGTAAAGGTGATACCATGCAGGAAGCAATCAGGGATCACAATGATAATTTAAGAAGACTATTGCGAAGATGCAGTTATAAAGGTCTTAAACTTAATGAAAAGAAATTAAAGTTGGGTCTGAAAGAAGTCAAATTCATGGGCCACACCATCTCAGATATAGGACTAAAGCCAGACAGTGACAAAATCAAAGCAGGTATGGACATGGCTGTGCCAGCCAATGTGGCAGAAGTACAGAGGTTGTTGGGATTTGTCAACTACTTAAGCAAGTTTCTTCCTGGTCTCAGTGACATGTGTTTTCCACTACGTCAATTGACATTGCAAGATACAATTTGGTGTTGGTTGGAGACACATACTGTGGCACTGGAACAAATAAAAAAGACTGTAACTACGCACCCAGTGTTGCAGTATTTTGATCCATCCGAAGAGCTAGTTTTTCAAGCAGATGCTTCGGAATCCGGCTTAGGGGCAGCGATATTGCAGGACGGACACCCACTGGCTTATGCTAGTAGAGCATTGACGGACACTGAAACCCGATATGCTCAGATTGAGAAGGAGCTTTTAGCTGCATTGTTTGGCTTAGAGAAATTTCACACCTACACATATGGTAGACATGTGAACATCCAGACTGATCACAGCCTTTAGAAATGATCCAAAAGAAGTATTTACATAAAGCTCCAAAGAGGCTACAACGAATGTCACTGCGCATGGCAATGTATGACTATAGCGTATGTTATACTCCTGGGAAGAGTATGTATTTAGCAGACACGCTGAGCAGAGCTTATTTAACAGAAACCGATGATACTGTTAATGATCAGACATGGGAGCTGTGAACATGATGGAATCAGTAAATTTGGAAAATGGCACACTGAAGGGTATTGCCACACTAATACAAGATGATCCAGATATGCAAGACTTGCAGAGAATAATCATTAAGGGATGGCCTCAAGTTAAACAAGAGGTCCCAAAGCAGCTTCACAACTACTTTGACTTGCGGGATGAGTTTAGTTACACATGACAGCCTGATCTACAGAGGAAAGCGTCTGCTTATTCCACCTGCAGCACGGAAGAATATGATGGAGCAGATCCATGCTGCTCACCAAGTGATACAAGCAAGTATCAGAAGAGCACGAGAGTGTCTGCTGGCCAGGTATGACAACACAACTCAAAGACTATATGGGAAGATGTGAAATATGTACACAACATTTGGACCAACAGCAAAAGGAGATGCTCCAATCACATAAAGTTCCCAGGAGACCATGGTCTAACGTTGCAATGGATATATTTTTTCTAGATGACCGAAATTATTTGATAACTGTAGACAATTTTTCAAATTACTGGGAAATTGACTACTTGAAGGATTTGCAGTCAGAGACGGTCATAGGAAAAGTGAAGAGTCAGTTTGCAAGACATGGAATTCCTGAATGTGTTATATCAGACAATGGAACACAATTCACCAGTGAGCTTTTCAGCCAGTTCTCAAAGAAATGGAATGGAACATAAAACCTCATCGCTAGGATATGCCCAGAGCAATGGCAAGGCTGAAAATACAGTTAGAACAGCTAAAAGGCTACTAAAAAAGGCAAAAGCAGATCGAAAGGATCCTTATTTGGCGATATTGGATCTCCGCAACACACCGGATCAAGATGGGAGTAGCCCTGTACAGAAGTTGATGAGCAGACATACAAGGAACCGGTTACCAACCACTTCAAAGCTCCTGAAACTAAAGGTGGAAAAAGGAGTGTTTGAAAACATAAAGAGAAAGAAAGAAAGACAAGAGTTACAGTATAGCAAATCAGCTAGAGACTTGAAGCCACATCAAGTTGGAGATAAAGTCAGGATATTCCAATTTCACAACAAACAATGGAACTTGGAAAGCAACATTATCAGGTGCTTGCCCAACAGATCATATTGTGTGAAACTGAAAAATGGGAAACAGCTGAGGAGAAATAGGAAACATCTAAAGAAAGTATCTCATGACAACAGCAGCTTCAGTGATGATGACTTTGCTGACTTGGATGACCCAGTAATCCATCCATGGCCAAAAGCACAAACACCAAACCAACAAGTGCATGAACCACAACATCAGCAACAAGTGGACCGCCCTACTACAGAAACCTCGCCCGTGAAAACCAGAACGGGAAGAACAGTGAAACCTCCAAAATATCTGAAAGACTATATGCCATAATATAACACTATAAATCAATGGACAATATGACTAATTATCTTTATAACAACAGTAGACCATGCTGAACTCTTGCAGGAAAATGTTTATGAAAGTGTTAAAGTTTCATATGGAATATAATCACTAATAATTAGAGAGAAGAATGACATGTTATGTGATTTAATACTTAATTATCTATAATTCATACAAATTTAAAATTATATATGTTGAGTTACTTAAAGTTCAAAGTTAATGAAGGTACACCATACTGCTGAATAATTTAACAAGACTCATAATAATAACGTTAGTATATATTTAATATACTCGCATAGAATACAATACATCTGAAAACATAACTAATGATATAATCTTTAAGTGAAAGCAAAAAAGCTTAAAAAAGAGGAAAGATGTAGTGAAATATATTTAATGTCCTGGCAACGCTCGTCCGGGGTTCTCCATCATGGCGTGTGATCCAATAAAGCACGAGTACCGATAATCTGTGTCCCGTGTGCTATTTAGTCCAATATTAACATTTAGAAAACCCACAAGTGACAACAAAGATCATCTGAAACTGTCAGCTTTAAACTATTAAGTACAATTTTTTCAAAAACTTTCATCGGTACAGACGTCAATTAAACCGGTCTAAGATCGTTATAGCAGCTAATAGTGTGTCTTTTAGGAACTGGGAATGTTAGGCCTAATGCCTTTCAATGTTAGGCCTACATTTTCTGAAAGATTTCTAACAAGAACATGTCAGTACTTTGAAAAAACTTGGTCAAGCCTTCACACAGGCAAACTAGAGTAGGCCTAGGCCTAGCTGAAGTGCCTAACTAGTCTGAAAATCGGGAGGTAGGCGATTGCTAAAAAAATCCACCAAAATCGAGAGCTTTAGCTATAATATAGGCTTAAAAAAAACCATAATGGTAGGTTTCTGAATCATGTTAAAAATGACTGGAAATTGTAAAATCGCGAAAATAGAATGTTGCGAAATATTAAAAATTGTAAAATCGCAAAAATATAGGGTCGCAAAAAAGATTTTACATTATATATATACTGTCTCTTATACACATCTAGATGTGTATAAGAGACAGACTATATATATATATATAAAATAATTATTATTAATAATTAAAAATTGTAAAATATATGATATAAAACAATTATTGTCTCTAAACTTCAGATAAGAGCCTAGGTATTATAATACTTTAATCATGTAGCTATACTTCACCTTGACTATCACAATCATATTTCCTATATGCATCAGTAACATCGATCGATTCAGTTTGCTGAGCTGTTATCAATATTGGGAGCATCTCTAAAAAGAAAAAGAAAGTTTATTAACAAATAATTTGTTTTTTGGAAATTAATATTTAATAGACTCCGTTCAGACACGTAACCTAAGTGAGAAGGGGAGGGGTATCAAGCCGAACCAAGAGTGATAGAATACTGTGTGCAATACTGTTTTATTTCTGCCTGCAATCAAGAAAATTTTCAGTTTTATTAATTCAAATTCCATGAGGCAGACATTTTTCAGCATCAATAAAAAATTACATTTTACCTCATGCCTGTCAAATGCTGTAACTTGACATCTTTATGAGAGAAGAAACACATTTTGTGCCCTAGAATAGGAATTTGCACACTGTGCTATAGACTTGCCACAAGTTTCTAATTTATTGATTTTTCCTAATGTTAAAAAATTGTGGAAAGCGCCACCAGGATAAAAGAAGCAATATGGAACTTCATTGGTGCCAAAATTGATTATTACCTCCGCCAACAAGTTGGCAAGTTATGTTTTTGCCTGGTTTTTTATTTAGTTATTTATTTGTCTGTCAGCATAAACAGCCAACAGCCCATAGTTTTTATCAGAAATTTTTCAAACTTGGCCACAATGTTCCTTTACCACAGATCTGGAGTGACTAAATTTTAAAGGGTCAGGGTCAAAGGTTAAGGACACAATGATCGAACAACTTGTATAACTGTTTGCTGTATAGACGTGTGTGTGCTTATGGGCTTGCCGGTTAAGTGTAAACAAACATATGACCATTAATTTCAAAGTGCATTAGGGCATGTTCACACATACAGCGTAAGACTAGCGTAGCTTACGCCGGCATAAGCTAATCCACGGATTAAAATTCCAAAGTGTTCACACAAACGGCATTCGCTATAATAACGCTGGCGTTAAACTAGTAGTAATATAGGACTATGAGGGAATAGTTTTCAGTTTTAAATAATGTACGGGTTCTTAACTGTAGTAACATGAACAGTGCATCATTAAAACTTTTAAATCTGTGAATTGTTCAAAGTGAATTCTTATATGATTATTGTATTTTAAATGAACAATTTTACTTCTGATTTTTCAGCTAGCATTGTGGAACAGTTGTTGGTGTTGCAGGTTTTAATAGACAGTCTAAATAGGTTAAAATATCTTACAAAACACAATCAACAAATCATATACATTATAACTAAGTAAAATGCAATAGAAAAAGAACATTACCATTTCATTTATAGAGAGCACAGGAAGGAGATCAAAGTAACTAATCTATTGTAATCATGATTGGTCAATCTCTTGAAATGATGTCAAATCATTCAAGCATCACTGGCGTTAGCTAATCTGAGGTCTGCAGGTAGCATTAATAATGCCACGGAGGTAACGTTGTGAGTGGAGTAAGTAACGCCACTGCCTAGTTCACACACAAAGGCGTGTGTGAACATAGCCTTAGGTGTACAAGGTTGTGTTTACGAACTTTCAACGAAACCGGATAAGTCAAAAATGAAAATGCCCAGAGGGTAGGCCATTAGATCGCTCGTTTACGAACCCCAAGTTATTTGGATACGGACCGTAAAAACAAAGGAAAAAAAATAGACTACGGACTACTACTAGTTCCACTGGTGATCAGAGCTGACGACGACGTGTCAACAGTGTGTGGTGGACAAGAAAAGAGTCTATCGCCAAAAATTTCGTTCATTTCAAAATACGGCCATTCTTTTGGTTGGAGTCCTTTTTCTGGGTGTATTTTTGTGCAGGTTCTTGCATTTGGTATTCTATCTGTGCGTGCGTAAAGTTATAACCCATTTCCCGCATCTTCTGTGCGATTTCTTTATAAACGGCGTTGTTCCATCGGGTTCCATCAAAACCATCTTGTATGGATGTTGTTCCCCATATGCTAATTAACGTTTAGGTTGCTTCGTCAGTCCACCCACTTGGTTCAGCTGCAGCCATTTTATATAGGGGTATATAGTAAAAATAAACAAATATTTTGGCTTAAAAATTGGATAATTGCTGCGAAGCAGCCAATTCATATTCTTGACAGCATTTTTACCTCTGAAAGGTCATTGTTTGTCAAAAATCAATCGCCTGAGACAACTGAAAAGCGGAGTTTCCTTCTTTCGTTCTGCCGCGTAAAATCGTAGACTAACCTACTCGTACCAACGTCGGCATGTCGCGACGCTGGAGTACTATTCAGCGTTTTTACTATATTTCTAGGTTTCCTATTTCTACGTTTAATCGGCTCATGTCTCAGCCACAATATTTTTTACGAACCCAGTTAAACTTATTTACTAGCCTATTTCAACGTGCTAATTATTACATTTAGGCGACGCTTGTTGTAGACTGGCATAGTGTTTGCGGAAATAAATACCATTTTATACACATGCCCAGATCTATTCGCCAGCAGCTAGTCATCGCCAGCAGCAGCGAGCCATCGCCAGCAGAGAGATGTCACTGCAGCAAAACACTATTGTACCAACGCTGTTCTAATAATATATAGACAATGGGTCGTGCTCATATTATTTGTTATATTTTTATTATTCATTATTTTCACTTGACTCGCATAAATAATTTTGTTCGAAGAACATTTTATACAGTTGTACTTCGCAGCACTTCACTTGCAATTTGCAATTTCTAGTATAGTTTATAAAGAGAACAAGAGGAACGATTTTGTACTGTTTTACAGATGTTTTTATGTACCATAGATCCTGAAGAAGAGCGTACGCACGAAAGCTTGATAATTAAAGACCTGTTTTGTTCCATCAAAGCCTCCGAATATTTATTTCATTTAAATATATAATTTACCATGAATTTTCTTCCTCATGTAAGGAACCAAAAAACAGGCTACAATAGCACCAGCCAGTAAACCACCTCCAAAGCTGATTAGAAAAACCCCGTACAAAGGCATCCCTCCTAGTACTGCAAAAAAAAATTCATTGTTTAACTTAATACATTATATTTTAAGCATATTTTTTTACTTGAAACTCGGATGATTTTCTCAGAAAAACTCAGAGATTAGACTGGATAGGAGAGTGGCTATCCTAAAACTGTGAAAAACCCAACATAACAGTAGAAGTCTTCTTACAGTTTAAATATAGTACTTTTTATTTTCATTTTCATTGTACTGCATGTCACATGATAAGTTTTAATGTGCATAGGTATAAAGGAATAGCATTAATGAATAAAGCTGCACACTCACTGCGCCCTATAAAGAAAAACAGATTATTTTTAATGACGATCCGTTCACACTGCCACAATCAGCAGACAGCGTTGTGTGGTCTAACGCTCACAGGGCGCGGCCTTTGGATTCGTCGTACGGCACAATGAGTGAGTGGATTAACAACATACTTACAACCGGAGGTATTGTAAAATATGGAGAAAAAGTTGACGACGATGACAAGTGAATACCAAATAGGTAAAGACTTTAAACCTGGCTCCAAAGGGTCATCCTTGGAAAAAAAAAAAAAAACAACATATAATCAGTGGCAGTGCCAGTGAGGGGTCAGGGGCATCAGACAAACATGGACTCCGACACGACAACTTATTAAAATGCTAATTCACCAATATAACCCACTATAGTCTTGCCATAGCTTATACCATGTAATGAATTAGCAAGTTTTATTATAATATACAGTACCACAAATTTTGATTTATGCAACAAACAGTACTTTGTATGCAATACTCTATTTTGATTAATGTGCTGGAAGGAAAAAAAATATTTGTATAATAATACATATTTGTTACACTATTAAGAAATCAGAATCATTAGTATAATTCAAGAAGGCAGCTGCCGGTATGTTTTCATTTGCACTGAACAATTTAAACAACCTTCACAGGGATGTAGTTATGGTGGGCAGAGCCACCCAATCTAAAGCTAATTTCATGGCCCCCCGCCACTCTTATTAACCAACTTTCCATCCTTAAAATCCACTATTATTATTTAGAGTTTACCAATGTTATCACCCATCCACCTTAAAATGTTTATCACCTACCCTTAGTTTTCTACAGCTACAACACTACCCTCATTTTCTATGGGCATAGACACGTCAAATGTTAATTTTGTAAAAAAAAAAAAGAAGCTCATGTTGTTGAATGCCTCCCGCACTCCCGCAAGAATCTCCCAGAAAATGACTCATCTCCCGCAAATTTGTAAGTATTTGTATGTTTTTACTACTTGTCTCATGGAAGTCATTACATGGTATAAGCTATGGCAAAGAAAGTTATTTTTATGGTTAAGAATTGAGCTTGAAGACTACAGTGGGTTATATTGAGTGGAGTTGAATAGCTCAGTAGCCTGGTTCACGTCGAACTTTTATCTAGATATAAATCCACTTAACTAGTTAAAAGTTTGACGTGAACCAGTCAATTATAGCTAGATAAAGGCTTTAAGTCACTTAAATTTAAGTGACTTTTAAGTCAACAAAAGTTAAAACTTTACTAGAATAACAGTAAATTAACTTGCTTAATGGTAAAGTCAGCTTGGATTACAAGGACACGATTACGTAATGTAGGCATCTAGGCCAGCGTTGTTGTATTGTACCCACCATTATCATCCTCTGGCTGGCAACAACGTACTCCAATATGCTCCAACAATGCTAACAACAGCAGCAAAGTAGTTTCATAGTCTGGTTTTCAGAAATTATTTGTAATATTATGGATAAAAACCCAGCAAACGTCTGTTTTACGAATAGTCGATATTACCAATGACCTTTGCATCATCGACCAAGTAATAACGTTAAAATGTCCGATTGCGCACGTTTTTCAAAGTGATAATGTATATTATTCTTAATGATAAAATCAGATCTGTTGTATTTATTTATTGACAATTCAATTTTTTCCATTTCTGCTATAGATAATAGTCGCTATTAATTCAGTTTCACATACTACCACCAACGCCAGTCGTTAAAATGAGCGCATATGTTTACGATGACGAAATAAAAAAGTGTGTGGAAGTCAGCAACATTTGACACCGCGAAGCTAGATTTTGGCGAAAATTTTCGTGAACAGCAGCAAAGTAGTCTCATTAGTTGGTTTTCAGAAATTATTTGTAATATTATGGGTAAAAACCCAGCAAACGTCTGTTTTAATACGAATAGTCGATATTACCAATGACCTTTGCATCATCGACCAAGTAATAACGTTAAAATATCTGATTGTGTACTTTTTTTAAAGTGATAATGTATATTTTTCTTAATAATAAAATCAGATCTGTTGTATTTATTTATTGACATTCAATCTTTTTCATTTCTGCTATAATAGACACTATTAATTCAGAAAGGTCCATAAAGTATATAGACGTTTTAATGAGAAATAAAACAATATTTTGTTAAATGGGAGAATGCTAGCGAAAATAAATTTGGTTTTTATCGAAGGAAATTTAGCTAGCTAAGGGTACTATTGCAGTAGACCACGCTGCTCACTGTCGGTTGGTTCGTACTACCTGGTCACTATCAATGGCAGAGGATAGCTAGGCTAGGTAGTGGAAACTGACACCTGATCTACAGTAGTTTACGATTTTGTCAATTTTTTTTTACGAATACCCCTTGGTACTGGAGGTTCGTAAAATACACTAGACGTTATTAAACAAGAGCCTTTCCACCATGTGACGTCGACGGTGGCTGGCTGTTTATCTGGCTCTAACTTGGCATAGAACACAACTAGGGATAAATCGTATCATATTTCAAGATTTGACTTAACTTCAATGTGAACCAAGCTAGTGGTTGAGATGCTTGCCTTCTGATCCCAAGGTCCTGGGTTCAATTCCTGTCACAGCAGGTTTTTTTTTCACGACTAAAAACAACTCCACTCCGTAAGCCTCATAAAAAGACTTGGTTTATAAAGTATCATTCTCATCCTGTAAGTGGCGAGTGTAATTGCTGTTGGATGCGAGGGAAATAAAAAAAAAAAAAAAAAAAAAAAAAGGGCAGTGCCGATGGGTATCCCCATGGGCAGCAAAATAAAATTAAATATGCTATTAAAGAAAGCTCATTTAATCAGATCTTCCTGAAGGAATTTCTTCCAACTTGAGACCCATGTGAATTTATTATTTTTTATTCATTTGTAAAAGGATGACATGCAGAAAGATTTAGTGTCCTCAAGATTCAAGGATTGAAATAACTTTATTGCAAATTTTAAGAAAATTTGAAATGTACAGAATAATTTAAAGTAAATAATATAAAAAATATTTAAAATACTCCAGTAAAATTTTAATGTATTTGAAAGCCATTGTTTATGCCTATTGTTGGATCAGGATGACTAATAATCTAGCCTAGCCTACACACAAATGGCTAAAAAATAAGGTTACCTGTCATATGTAGTTTAAACTATGCATTTATTATTAGCTTTTAGTATTATTTTACTTTTTAAAAATATTTTTGGAAGGTTTAAATTGTTACAGTTCTTGTATAATTGTTCTGTACATCAGATTCAATAAATATTTTAAATGTTTTGTCTTTAATATGAAAAAAAAAACAAAAAGACCAGTCTATCAGATCTATCAAGTATCATATCTATTGAAAATATTGACTGGAATTTACCTTGCAAAGAACAAACTTCTGAAGAATGAAGAAGAAAAATATGGATGCTATTCCAGAAAGTACAGGAGAGGAAAACCAGGAAATAACTGGAAAAGAAAATCAATATTTGATTCAGGATATGGATCAAATCATATTAACATGAAAGCTGTGGTATATCAATCATATTATGAAGGCAATAATGAATACTTTGTTGAAAATATGCTATGGCCTTGGGACAGTCCATTGTATAAAATAGGTTCGGATAATAAAACATTCACAAATACTCTATCTAACAAGGGAGACAGTGCTATCAAATTCAGACCTACTGAATCACTTAAAATAGATACTGTACATGAAAGTAATGTACAGGTATTTCATATGTCTGAATACCTATCAATATGCAAAACCTTGGAACAGTCCATTGTATAAAATAGGTTCAGATAATAAAACATTCACAAATACTCTAACAAGGGAGACAGTGCTATAAAATTCAGACCTACTGAATCACTTAAAATAGATACTGTACATGAAAGTAATGTACAGGTATTTCATATGTCTGAATACCTATCAATATGCAAAACCTTCACAAATATACAAAACAAAATAAACTGAAAATTAAAATTTATATGAAAGTAAAAGAAGCAAATTTAAATCAGATTTTTTAAAAAAGATTTCAGTACAGTTAAATATAAACTACTGTATAAAAAGAAGAAAAAAATAACATTAATAAAATAAAACAATAATATTAATTACTATTTATTTATATTATCTATATAATATTAATTAATAATTTGATGTGTGTGCTACAATATTAATTATAACAAAATAATGTAATTATTAATAAATTAATAAATTGTTAAATAATTATTTACATTAACTAAAATGGTGTTTAGCACACCATGCTACCAACACCTTCAAATACTTACTAATTTTACCAAGTTCCCACCATTTGATGCCCTCACCACCAAATACCACTACATGGTAACCAATTATGGCACCAACGATGCTGTGAGTACCAGAAACCGGTAATCGTAATGCCGTCGCAATCAATAGCCAAATGGCGCTACCTGGTGCAAAAGAATTCACCAAAGGAATCAGGAGAACTTAACAAGCAATCCAGTAGAAATAATGAAGTTGAGTATTCTGGATTTATACATACAGTACAAATCATGTGTACCAGAGGTCCTAAGTTGGAAAATATCACTTCCGGGAGATTTGGTTAAAGAGCTTTCTTAAGAAGCCAGGCTCCGGAGGAAAAATTTTATTTTGATATGCTGTAGAACACAAAATGCACAATTGACAAAAAACTCGGAAGCAGTCAATGAGATTGAGATTTTTGAATATTTAAAAACTGGGGCAAAAAGTTTGAGAAAATAGTGGTATGCCCTATTTTCCCCCAGTTTTTAAATATTCTAAAATCTGTATCTCATTAACCATGTTTTTCGTCAAATATGACTTTTGTGTCTTAAAAAAATAAGTACTACAACATATCAAAAACAAAAGTTTCCTCCGGAGCCTGACTTTAACACATCCAATTTTATTTTTCTGCACATAGTGATCTATCTATCGTCACAATATCTGTGAGACAATTGATAAATAAAGAATCTGCAGAACATGGGTCACTTTCCCGGAAATTTGTGCTGCCTCCCGCACTCCTGATTTCCCGGAGACTCATGTGACTTGCAGGAGACTTATGATCCTTGGTGCATTTATACATCCCTGCATGTGGTACTTAAAATACATTCAATATTAATTCACATATGTTTTTATTTTTCTGTGTTTTTTAAGGGACTGTAAGGCTTCAGTGTGGTGAGACACACAATTGTTCAAGAGTGGTGCTTATTACAAATTTTAAAGTCTTAAAATAGTATCATTTGTTAAACTATTTGAATTGGTGCAAAATTGCCTCTGGCACATAGTACTACAGCTTTACCTTTAGGAGAGACTTTTTCTATACCTTGTTTTGCGAACCCACTGCCATCAAATATTGATAATTTAAAATAAAAATAAAATTTAAAAGCATTTACCAATCCTATTACTACACTGTTTATATTCAACAATAAAAAACAATAAAATTTTATTTTATCCTTTGTCAGGATGTTTTTGGCAAAACTATTTGCTAAACAAGAAAACAAATTTTTATTTTTATTTATTTTCTGCACGACGATCTTTAATAAAAAAAGTTCGCGAAACAAGGAATAAAAAAGTCTTACCTGTGTCTTTAAAGATGCAACCACTGCAATGAATGAATAAAGTACCTTGTATTAAGACCATAAAATAATCATAAGCTTTCACTTACTGATAAGTGCAGATAATTGTCCAAGCATCAGGATAATTTCTTCGCCATCATATAAATTGACATCAACAATCCCGCTGCGTATTGTCTCCGACACTCTAGCTCCGAGTAAGATGGCGCCAAGGGTTTCAAAAATGGAACCAAGAATGCAAATCTGATATAGAGTTAAAGCTTTTGCACCGTATGATGTTCCAAAAGAGTTAGCAACGTCATTAGCACCGATGAAGAATGACAAGATAAATGCGATGATGAATCCAAATATCACGATCAAAAGGGCGTCGGTTAGTGTGCCTGGACATAGGGTACTGAAGGCACTTATGGTTGTGGAAGAATCCATACTATGTTTTCATATTTGTACCTGCATTTTGGAAATAATACCTATTCATTAGATATAGCTTGTACTTCACTTTATATACTATTTGTTTGTGATTATTGTATGTATGTAAAATAATTTTATTCGGTAAATTACTGAATTTTACTACTACTTATGATAAGGATATTTTAAAATTATATTGTAAATAATATTACTTGATAACAGATAAGTTTTTAGAAATAATATTGTAAATAATAATCGGATAAATTTAATGAATTTAGATATTTAAAATTAATATTACTTGTGATAAGGATTATTAAAAATTATATTGTAAATAATAATAATTGATAACAGATAATTTTTTTAAATAATATTGTAAAAAATAATAATAAATGATTATTTAATGAATTTTAGATATTGTCAATTTGGTTTTTATTGTAAATTATAATAATTGTTTAAATAATTAAATTTGCCATATATATATA